CATTTATTTTAGGCCCGATAAAAAAAATAAAAAACTCACGCTATAATGTGATAAGACGCGCCTTGACACGTTATTTGGACGTTACGCTTCACAAACCAGCCTTGGACGTTTTCGTAACGACTACACCACGTCTCGCGCCATGACACGCCTTGAGACGCATCATGACACGCTTTTTAGAACCATGATTATTATTCACTACATTTAGGTTATTGTTTTGATACAGTAATATTATTATTATTCATTATATTTAGGTTATTGTTTTTTTATGTTGCATGGGTGAGTTGGAGTTCGGTGTCTTCTACACCACTCCACTCTCCACTTGGTCTTAGACATCTTGTATATTTTATAAATTTCTTTAGTTAAAAACCATTTGATTTTAAAGTCATTTTATTATATAGTTTGATGTCATTGTTGAGTAACATGCCCATCTTCAAACGCATACTACTTCTATATTTCGTGGGCTTTATATAATCATTATTCCTAACAAGACTATCAACAGGTTGTTGTTGACTCTCATGAGAAGGTCTGGTAGAAGTGTTATTGATTTTTGGGATGTCATTGAATTTGTTGGCTTTCAACAATTGGTTGATTTATCTTGTGACAGAGATTTTGAAGAGAACATATTTATATGGTGTAATGACCATCATAGAAAGTAAACACATGCAATACAAAACAATTAACATGGTGTATTATGCAAATGTATAGAAGTAGTTCTTATATTTTACCGTTTTTGGTTAATTTATAGTATCAATTCAAATTGATGTATTTTAACTTTAAAAAATAAAAGAAAAACTATCTAAATGTATATTTGACAAGTTTAGTTAAAAACTGGGAGTCGAAAGTTTTATTTGTATACAAGTATTCGACAAATTAGTTTGGCGCTTTTAAAAATATAAAACCACATAAAATTAAAAGTTAAAAGTTTCCAAAAGATAAAAGCTCTCAAAAGCTAGAATTATTTTTTGGATGATGAGATTTTTGTTAAAATAAAATTTTAAATTGATACCTTTAAACATAGTTTTTAGCTAGAATTATTTTTTGAATGATGAGATTTTTGTTAAAATAAAATTTTAAATTGATACCTTTAAACATAGTTTTTTTCTTTAATCTGGATTTTTATCTAAAGGTTTTAAAAAAAAAGCTTGAAAGTTCAATGTTGAAGTTGAACACAATCTAAATGTTTGTTTAGTTGATGAGATGAAATTACAAGCAATTGATAAATCAAAATCATTGAATAAACAAGATAATATAAAAATTCCTTTACTTTTTATTTTTATTATCATGTTTGTTTATTTTAAATTATTAAAATAAATAGCTCTAACATCAAATAAATAAATTAAATAAAATGGAAACATTAAAGGAATAAATTTTGACCAAACAAAATATATCAATATATATACATATATATATATATATATATATATATATATATATAGTGTTAGGTTCATATATGAGACGGCCTAATTTTGTGAGACCGTGAGACGTATTTTTTTATTTTTTTAATTTATTTTTTAGTTAACAAGTTCCGAAAATAATATTTAAAAAAAAAAAAATTGATTTTTCCATTTATTTTGCATTTTAAAATTATTTTTAGAATATGTACAGTGTAATATTCTATTTAGAATATTTCACGTATTTTTCAAAAAAATATATGATTTTTTTATTTTTTTTTAGTTAATTCAAGTTCCGAAAATAATATTTAAAAAAAAAAAGAATTTTTAGATTTTTCCATTTATTTTGCATTTTAAAATTATTTTTTAGAATATGTCAGTGTAATATTCTATTTAGAATATTTCACGTATTTTTAATAAAACGGGATTTTTTTTTAGTTAATTCAAGATCCGAAAATAATATTTAAAAAAAGAATTTTTGGATTTTTATATTTATTTTGCATTTTATAATTATTTTTAGATTTGGTCTTACGGTCACACAAGATTAGCATTGTCTCAAATGAACCTGAACCTCTATATATATATATATATATATATATATATATATATATATATATATATATATATATTTCTAATAATTAGAAAATGTCAGTTCAAAATCTTGTTTTAAAAAAGTTAAAATATTAAAATAACTAATTCAAACATGTCATTTGTATGTATATAAAATAACTAAATGAAATTGAATGGATAAGTTAGAAAAAAAATATCATTTTAAAAATTAAATTTTGATCACATGAAAATATATCAATAAATAAATTATGCATATACATATTTAATACAGTTTATAATATATATTATATATTTTTTAATATTTGTAAGGAGGTCATCAAAATCTAGTTTTAAAAAAAATTTACATACAAAGCCCATGATATCTTTAAAAAGCAATATAATTAAGAATATTTTCACTATTTTTGGAATATAACAAAAAAAAAGTGTGCATGGATTATAATTCTTTTTTTTTAACTATAGAGATTGTATAAAAATTGAATTTTATTTATAATATAATCGTGTATCTAATTTAGGTTACCTTTACTGCCAATCTACAGAACCGTACATGAGATTTTCACCTCATACGGCTCCTCGTTCAATTCTTTCGAAGTTATTGGATCCTTTTCCGCGTTCGAGAATCCCTTCCCTTCTTCCACTCCGTCCTGAAGAATAATTGGGACCAATTTAGTCACGTTTTCATGTTCCAATTAAACTCGTTTTGTTTTTTATTATTCTCTTTACCAAACATATGTAGATCCAATCACGATCTTATAATAAGAACAAGAGATCTTTCTCGATCAATCCCCTTACCCCTCATTCTTTGAGAATCAGAAAGATCATTTTCAAGTTTGAATTTGTTCATTTCAATAAGTTATTTAATTTTTTGGAACAACATACTTAATATTAAAACTGAACTGGCTAGATAGTAACAATGAAATACAAATTGAACAAGAACTATATTTTGTAACCATATAGTCTTTTTAGCCTAGCGTGTCAAAAATAAAACCAAAAAAAAAATGTTAAAATATTCTCAAATAGTTGCTCATCTTATTTGTGTTGTTGAAACACTACAAAATTCAAGTACATCAACAATATCCAATTAAGTGTCATGGATATTAATAAGTTATCTAAATAGTTTATCGAAAAGCTAATGTATAAGAGTTATGATAAGACGTAAAACACATCCTAAAAAGAAATGTTTCATTTCAATTTATTATGTGACAAACAAGAGTTTATTGTTTTGTCATAGATTTTATTTTCTAATATTTACGCCATAAGTGAAACAATTTCTATAATATGTATATACAAAGAGAAAAATAATAAAATAAATAAAATAGTTCAAATAAGAGGTTATTCTGTAAATTTATCTATTATGAAATTCAACAATGTTAAAAAGGAAAATTATCGGAAATTTTGACATGTTTAAAATATTACAAACAAAAAAAAAAAAAACCTATACAATTATATTAAAAAAACTCATAATTTATTCTCTTGTTCATAAAGTGACATTAATTTTTACATGTCAATTTTATTTAATTTTTCAGCAACAAACTATTAATTAGTTTCATTCAAGTGTTTTGAAAATTATGACTAGCGATGTGAATGGTCCATATTTTTCCTTAATCTCTTATAAAGGTGGACGGTATGCCTAGTACTCTTCGAGACATGATCATTTTTATGTCATCTTTTACCGGAATACCTCCGTATGCATTAATGTACCACAAATGATGAAGTTCCTCAGTACGGGCATCCGCAAGATGATGATATCTCTTATTTATCTCATGCATTATAAGTTATACAATATTACTCTAGTACTTGTACATCTTGCTACAATTGACCAAGTTACAAAAATAATTGAGCATAAAGTGGAAGAGAGGATGTTAGTAATGTGAAAGATGAGAAATGGGAATACCGAATGCTCTTAAAGTATCAAAAGGTAAAAAGCATTGATATGTTATAATATGTCAAAATTATGATATGACCAACCTAATCAACGATGTCAAGTGATATGTTTCATTCAATTGTCACATAATATAAATGAAACTGGATAATAGGTTTTTACCTAAAATTGAGATAAAATCCATAGGAGTTTCCATATATAGATACATAAGGCTGGAGGGTGTGGTGTGCGGTTCCAAACTGCAAAAGCGCCACGTCAACCACAAACACCACCCCCTGGGTGCGGTCTCGTGCGGTCTTGGCTGCAGTGCGGCTAGAAATGGTCGCACCATTTTTGTGTCTTTCTCTCTCTACTTTTTTCTCTCACCTCTCTTTCTCTACCATAGTTTCAACTCCCTGGATGTGGTAAAGAACCACATTTTGTGTGGTAAAAATGATGTGGCTCCTATGTATCAAAGGAAGGAGTGCGGTTCTTGTGGCACCACTCCCCCCAGCCTAATAGATTGTGTTTCTATTTATTTTTACCCTTTAAAAACAATAAAAAAAAGGTCAACTATCTTAGGGTGGAAGGAGTTCATCCCTTCTGCCCTTCCAAGTCACATGCCACATTAACGATTCTCTCCTCTCACTCCCAACCCTCTCAACCTACAATTCATACAAATACATCTATTTGGTACAATTTATGATGCATGTTGTATAAGTAGAGAAGAGAGAGTGGGAGGAGCATCTACAAGAATTTGCTCAACCCTCATCTTTGTGGTACCGCATGTTGGTGGAATGATGGGACCGGCGGTACCACAAGTTTGCACGACTCTGCGCACCCTTATCCATTCACTTTATCATCTCCGGTTACAAACATGTTCATAAAATCCTTCTGTTTTTTTTTCTCGTGTTTTAGATTTCGTCATCCATTCCTTTTAAAATCTTTCTAATAAAACTCTAAGTAATGCAAAGCCTTCATATAAATATACACAAAAATGCCACATTATCACCAAAAAAAGTCTCAAAGTGTTATAGTGCAACTGGAATTAATGAATAACCATAGTTAAACCACAAATTTTTCAAAATGGATGTTGATATATATATATATATATATATATATATATATATATATATATATATATATATATATATATATATATATATATATATATATAAGAAACCCAATTACATACAACAAAAAACTTGGTTCTTATTATAAACATATATATTTTTTGAAAGTGTGTAAATAGATATCGATAATCATTTTCCCCCAACAGACACCGGGGACTGTTTATGCACAAAATTGATAGTCGATTGCAAATATTTATCAGCAGGCCCAAGACATGATCTGGCGATCTCCACCAACTTAGAGCATACGGAAGATATCTCCTGATTCACCTGACCAAAATAGCAACATACTTTCATTTCTTTCTATTACAACTTTTCTTATTCTTATTAAGGCACTGGCATTGTACTTTGATAACATTTTTCAGAGTAGAATGCTGTAATGGGAAGAAGTGAAAGTATGTTGCTATTTCTTGAATTGAATCCTTGTGTTAATAGAACATGACATCAAACTTACATTGAAAGACATGGCAATACAGTTGCAAGCTTCAAGTGCCAAGTTTCCTCGTGTAGCCTGATGAAAAAAAAATATCAAATTTTGAGCATTTTTGTTATAACACGGGAAACCTTCAAATAATAGCAACATAGTTTTGAGCTGATGACCTGTGAAGATTCTTGTGGAATAATATCAACCATGTTATGAAGAATAAGAGTAGATAATGATACAAGTTCTTGGCTGTATCTTGCATCACCAAAGAATAAACTGTCATTGCCAAAAACCTGGAAAAAAATATATAAATATAATATTAAATCTCATGTTTTAGATATACAAAATGTTTGTGATCAATGATCATATACCCACATAATATCCAAAGTCAGATATTCTTTTGTGGAAATTGACTTGTGTGTTTATGTTTATATTATAGGGAAAAAAACACACTTGTATTTTCACAGTTTTTATCAATTTAGGCACTTGAATATATTCTAGATAGTCATTAAAACCATTACATTTTTTTCGTTTAACAAAAAAAAAAAACAATTTTTTTAGTTATCGGATTTTCAAAAGTGGGAAATACAGAAAAGCACAACGTACTTTCATCATTTCATCAATTTCAACGTTGAACTATTGTTTTTTTTTAATGATTATTATGATAATACTTTGTTGATTAAATAGATAAAGAATAACAGTTTGGTAGAGATTAAACCATTTTATCATTTTATCAATTTAGCCACTTAAATATTTTTCTGTTAGTGATTACAACCATTATATTTTTTAGTAACCAGGTTTTCAAAAATGGAAAGTACAGAAAAGCACAACGTGCTATCACAATTTCATCAATTTAGAATTAAACTATTATTCTTTTTTTTTATTATCATAATTATAGTTCGATTGTTAAATCAATAAAGAATATAACAGTTTAGTAGTGTGATTAAACCGATTTATTATTTTATAAATTTAGCCACTTAACTATTTTCTGAAGTGATTAAACCATTATATTTTCTTTGAATAAAAAACACTTTTTTAGTTACCCAATTTTTAAAAGAGGAAAACACAATTCATCTATTTAAAATTGAATTATTATATTATAACACTTTTTTAGTTCCCCCAAAAAAAGAAACACTTTTTGAGTTGCCCAATTTTGCACTGTATTATATAAGCAGTGAACATGAATTTAGAAGTACCTCTTCATGAATTGGATGATAAGGGAGCTCATTTTGAGAAAATGTTGCAGATAAGGAAAGAAGTGAACATAAAACCCGTATCCTTAATTTTGGTGTAATCCTACAAAACAAAACATAAAGAAATAAAAATTAAAACTGGATGTCAATTTTATTTATAAAATTGAGAGCCAGAAGCCTAACCATGATTGGGAATCAAGCAAGGATAATATGTTCTTTGGAATGTAGGTAACTCCTTGTTCCAAATTACCTTTAGCAAGAAAACTCAGCATCATATTAAAAAAAAAAAAAAAAAAAAAAAAATTGTTTAATAGTAAGCAATTATTTTCAAGATGAGTAAGCCAAAAATGAATAACCTGGAACCATAAGCATGAAGCTGCAGAGCTTTCTCATTAAGGAAACAATACCATCAGCATCTTCATTCTTACGCATGCCTAAGTACACACATTTAAAGCTAACTTAAGGGTTGTTTCTTTTTGAAGGAAACAAATCAATGAGGGCAAATTTGTAAAAAAAAAGTTAGGAACTGACCATCTACCAAGTTAACATCTTGTAAGCAGCTGATAGCAGAGTCTAAAAGCCCATCTGAATGAGAAATCAAACCACCCAACAAAGAAACCTGATGTTTAATTAAGATTAATACTAAGCACATGATCAATTTTAGTAAACCAAAAAAAAAAAAATTAAATTTTTTTTTACCTCTGCGGTCTCAAGGTATAAGATTAACTGCCTGGAATAAGATGGAATACAGGGTATTGTAACTTCATTAAAAGTAATGCAGGATTTTATAAAATTTGAAGTATCTTTTTTCTCTCTCAATCTTAAAGCTCTGGTTGCTAAAAGATTGCTGGAATGAACAAGAATCTCCTTCAGATCATTCATGCTGCTGAAAGCTCCACGACACTCAATCAAGAAAGTCAAATATCGGTCCAAATCCACACCATGGTCAACCTGACAATACACTCAATCAAGAAAGTCAAATGTCGGTCCAAATCCACACCATGGTCAACCTGACAATAATAATGGCCACCCAAATTTAGAAAATATAACTAAATTGCATTTTTGGTCCCTGTGTTTAGGTGCTTTAATTCGGATCAGGTCCAAAAAAAATCTTTAGCAATTATGGCCTTATGCTCTTATCAGATGGTTTCATGATTTTTTTTGGTCCTTATCCTTGTAAAAATGAGTATTTTACCCTTTAACTGATTACTTCCCATAAGAAAATATATATTTACAAATTTGTTCCCTGTGCCTTACTCAAGTTCGGTCAATTTTTCAAAACATTCCGAAGTCGTCCTTAAGTATTCATTTTGTTGCAGATCTGGTCCCTATGCTTTACTCAATATCGCAGGTTTGGTCCAATTTCATTTCATTCAAGATCTGCTTTGTTGTTAGAGGGACTAATAGTGCAACAAAATGCAAAGTTAAGGATAAATTTGTAGCTTACTCAAATTAATATATTAAATAAATAGTTTTTGTGTAAAACATCTGATATAGGTGGGATAAAATAGTCATTTTTGTAAGAAATCAGATGAAGGTTAAGATAGTCATTTAGTGATAAAGGTCCAAGTGCCAAGAAATAATAAAACTTACATGAGCATTAACTAATTACCTTATCTATAAAACGAACAATTAATCGCTCAGCTTGTTGATTATCATCCTGTTTTGTGCTTGAGAAATCAACACTATCATGCAGAGACTGGGCAACATCAAAAAGAAGTTTTATTGTGGTAGGATCACTGATGTCATCATTTCTGCTCAATAACAAAGGATAAAAGAGTCAAAATAAATTTTCTGGAAGAAAACACATAAATCAACAAATAAATTAAATAGTAAGTACCTTGTGGCATTATTGAGGATGTGCATACTCACAATGCTTCTTGAGCTTCCATGCATTACATCTAATATGTCAACAACATAGTTCTGTAGTAAGACAAAAAAAATAAAATTTATTTTCTGTTTATTTTGCTGAAAAGGAGCTAAAACATGAATATAGAGTTTACCAGATCAAAAACATGTTTCATATCATCAAAATGTGTGACCAGTTTCACAATAATTGATTGCAGGCTAGCTAGTTCATCTTCAGTAACCACTTCATTGCATAATCTCTCAAATATTTCACTTAGAATGGAGCTTAGATACTGATCCTGGAACATACAGATGTAAAATCTTTAAAAAAATGACAATTAATGCAAGTGCGAGAATGTATAATTACAAGTCATAAAACTTACAGTCTTATATTGAAGAGTAATATCCATATAGGCATCCAAGATCTTCAAGTACTCATCAAGGCTCTTTCTTTTTGTAGCAACCTGAATTGAAACTTAGTAATTTGCTGTTAGAAACTTGTAAAATGTTACATCTGTTATAAAGTAACTGGAAACTGTAAAACATCGAGTACCTGAATTACTTCATCAATTAATACATCAACTGTGTTCACTTGAGATATTCCCTCGCAAAGCTTCAGCCCAAGCACCTTGTAATTTAAACACTGCACAAACAACAGTTTAACACAAGGTATACAGATACAAACTCAAAACCAAAAGTTGACCAAAGTCAAATGGCAAAATCTTTCAAAGGGTACCTGGTCAAACGAATAATCAGAGCTGCAGTCAACAAGGTGAAGAAATTCTACAGCATTGGAACATACTACATCAGTTGGAAGTTCCCTGAGTAAATAATGGAGAATAATCGATATCCAAGGAACTTCTCCATATAACTCCAAAGAATTATTCCCTAATCCAAGTCTCACAATCATATCAGCAACCTGTAGTTAAAAAAGTCAACATCCTGTAGTATACCAGCAATGAATATGTAGAGGCAAAAAGTCAACATATCTAACCTGATTTGGGTCCCTAAAAATGCATTTCATAGTATACTCAATTGTTGGTTCCATCAAGCTGATAACCAACCTTCGATCTCCCAAAAAGTTCCCATACTTGGTTTCTTTCATGGATACAATCCGTGTAAGTACAACTTTTGTGTCACTAATGCATGCTATCAGATGCCCTATAATATCATAATGGTCAAAACATATCATTAGGTGACCTTTTGCACATTACAGAATGAAAAAGTCAATACCTGTATCGAGTTGGGGAAGTTTTTGGGCACAGTGAAGCAAAAAGAAGCGACAGTAGGCTGATGCTAATGGATCTGCAACCCCTCTTATCATTGTAACCAATCGCATGAGGTCATCCATCACATTATCATGCAAAAATCGCCAGCATGGCAATATCGCAAGCTCAAGATAGCTAAAAGGCAATGTCAGATTAGCACAAGTTAAATTAAATCATCATAATACTGAGGGGTTGTTTCGTTTTTACTTGATGGGCTTAATGGGTTATGCACTTAATCTGGACAGCTATACGTGTCTGATTCTTTTTCACTTAATCTGGGCATAATGACTTAATGAGCTAAGACCAAAGAAGAAAAAATATCTAGCTTAATGTAGTAGGACACCAACCTTCACCTATTTGCCTTTCTTCTTTTTCCTCCTAACTCCTCCCATGTTAAAATTGATGAACATTGTAAAGTTTGGTTTTTGGAATGTAAGGGTAAAATGGTCAGTTAGTCTCATTCAAATGGTTTATTCAGTCTAGAAAAGAAACAAACCTTATGTATACAACACTTAATCAAGACTCACATCATGAACCATTCAGTCACTTTACCCGTATAGAACTTAATAAAAAAAATAAAAATAAAAAAACTCTGAATGTAACATACAAAAGATAAAGATAAGAGATTCACATGCGTGGAAGAAGCTCGTGGATGGAAGCAATTTTTCTGAACCAATTGTTGCATGTCTCCTTAGCTTCAAAGCATATACTATTTGCATCAAAGTCATCTGTAATGATATTATAGTTGTATAAATTTTAGATGTCTATGTAAAAACAAATTGTAGTGAGAGTGAGAAACTGAACGGGAGATGAAAAAACCTGATAAAGAGCATATTTTAGTTCCATCATCTGCAAACTCGGCTTTCTGTTTAATCCGATCCCATACCATATCACCAAGCATGTCCATTATATCAGCACTAAGAACAAATAATGTTGGATAAAATTGTGCCACAGATGTGTCCATCAGAAGCCTAGCAACCTGCAAGCCAACAAAATTTTCATTCCCAAATTACAAAATTATATATAGTTTTGTTGATAAAGAAAAAGGGAGCTACCTTAATTGACAACTTTAAGGTTGTTACACGATCATCAGAATGCCAAGAACGCATGATCTCATCTTTAAGTCCATGCATCCGTTTAATGTACTCCTGCTGGCTAACAATCTTGAATCCTCCTTCCTTCAACTTTTGAGAATCATTCAATTCATCTGACTGAATATTTGATGATAGTTCTCCACTTGCTAATTAAATTTAGAAAATGTTACTTCCAGGGGTAGGGGCAGTAGAAACAGAGATAAGTTAGTAATACACCATACCCTTGCCGCCTTTTATGGTTTTGCTTGAAAACTGTAGTGGAAAAAGATCCAGGTTATAACTTGCAAAAGCTACTAACAGAATTGTTTAACTTTTCTTATGTTTTGATTATGATTTGTGTGTGTCATGATGTTTACAAGACTTACCGAAGAAACTGAAATCATTTTTGGGACAGGAAATCTCTGCATTAGTAGCTTATTAAAGGATGTCCACTCCTTCTTTGAAGAGAGATGAGAGGTTGGTTGGGTAGCAGGAAGCTTTTCTGCAACTGCCGTATTTTCAACTGGCTCCAACGTTTCTGTTGATAGCCCCCTTAATGGATCAAAGAATTCAGTGCTCCCATGATCCTGTCGTAGAAAATTATTAAAACTTTTGCACTGCACAAAGATCAAAATGAAACTCCTAGCAATTGGAGATATTTCCAGTCAAATTGCCATCAATAACGAAAGTATCTAACAACCAATCAAAGAAAAGGACGACACTCAAACCTGTGTATGTAATAAGGATGAAGATGCTGACGAGCAGAGAGGATGCGAAGAAACCGAAATTCGGGTAAGTGAATAGACTTTGTCTTCGGCTCTGTAATCACGCGTTTTGAATTCCATCTCTCCGATCACAAACCATTCACTGCAACAGTCTCGCTTCGTAATGCAGCATACTTCAGTAGTTGTGACCAATGGAAGACATCATCTTGTCGTCTTGCGTGAGCCGAAGGCGAAAAAATCAATGAGAAAGAGAATGCTGTTGATGTTTGTATGATTTACCAAAATCAGACTTCCTTGGATTTTAGGGTTCGATCGCGCTACTGATTACTAACTACTATCCCTCCAGATGAAATTCCTAACTAGAACGAATCCTTTGTGTGTAAACCTGAAAATCTACGCACGTTTGTCCCGGTACTACTTTGGAGGAGATTGAATTAGTTACTGCCGCTATTAAATACGTTGCTTAATAAATTTGACTTCCATTGATCGAAGGTAAGATGTCAGGAAAATAACATTAAAATGATATCGAGTAAATTATGCGCATAAATTATATGAATATAAATAGGGTTTGGGATATGTTTATTTAAATAAATTAAAAAATTAATGATAAAATAATCTTTTTAGGTAAGAAGACAACAAAAAACAAATAGTACGTACAAATTACTCTAAACCATGTGGATCATTAGTGTAATTTAATCTAAGATGTTTTTTTGACTTGTTTATATTTAGTTATTGATTTTTTTATATATATTTACCGATTAAACTTTATTATCATGTATACAATCAATCTTTATGATTGATAGGTATGAGTTTAGCCGGTTTCCAACATTCTTTGCAGTTCCGGCGAGACTCTGCACGTAAATAATGATTTTTTCGACGATTTCAATCCCATAAATCGATATCTGACTCTGCACCTTCAAAACCTCGACAAATTTTTAACTAACAACCTTGAATTCCTTTCCCATTTCATAAGCCACTATGTCTAATTTTCTATTTCTTTGTGTGCGTTTTTAGTTGCAGCCAACATGCTCCTTGGAATTGTGACCTTCGATTTTTCATTGATCAACATGTGAGAAAGGTTGTGGTATTCGATGAGGTTCTCACCGGTGGAAGAAAAAATGCGGGTAGCTTCAATAGTGGTTTGTAGCAACTGGTAATTATGACGATACTGGGCGAATGTCTGCGCGTTGCGCAGAAACACGTATATAATTGAAGTTTTTACAAATATATATATATATAGCAACAACATTGTTGTTAAATTTGATATAATAATGTGTAGACTAAATTGATATAATGTATTGATTATTTTGAATTATATGATAATATATACATCTATTATAACTTCATAATCTCAATCGTTTGAATGACTTCTAACCGCAAGTTACTCATGAATAAAATTAAATATAATACATGGTTTAATGTTATTTATAGTTGTTATTGTTAATTAATTTTTTAAAATTTATTTGCTTAATATTTTAATTTTTATCATTATAATTATTTAATATATCAAACATTGTTTTTTTATTTTAAAGGTAACAATATAATCATTTATATAAAGTTATTTTTAATTATTGATATTGTAAGTCATTTTAAGCTACTTATTTGAAAACTTTTAACGATTATAAAAATATCTTTAGGAAATATTTTAGTTAAATTGTGATTACAATTTAGTTTTTTGCATTTATCACTAAAATTTATCACTTTTAACTATTTACATAATATTTTTTGGTTTTTTAAGTGGAACTAAATTTTATATTTAAGTTGACATTGTAATGTTATATTTAAAATTAAAATTTAAGTATTTTGTCCAAATTGTTCAAAAGCTTTAGTTTTAAACTAATAATGGTTTACATACAGCAACATATTAAATCTAATAAATTAAGTATAATATGTTAAAAATTAAAGACATACTTTTATAAGTGGAAGTAAATATATTATTTTAAAAATGATATTTAGTATATTTATGATTACACTTTAGGTTTGATATTTATTAAACCTTATTAACCAACTTATAATCATTATTAGAAAAACACTCCGATTATTCACTTTTAATTATTTACAAAATATTATTTGGGTTGTTTAAGTTAAACTAAAATTTATATTTAAGTTGACCATGTAATGTTATATTCAATTTAATAATTGAAGTATTGTATACAAATTGTTCCAAAATTGTATCTTTAAAATGATAATGGTTTACATCCAACAATATATTAGAACTAATAAATTAAGTATAATATGTTAAAAGTAAAAATAAATAAATAATAAAAAATCACTTAATAAGTAGAAGTAAATATATTATTTTAATATTCAAATTTAGTTTATATGTTATTACACTTTAGTTTTGATATTTATTTAACCTTATTAGCCAACTTATAATTATTATTAGAAAAAAATTGAAAAGACTAAACCACACCCCACACTCAGGCCTTGCTTGCCCAAGCAATCAATTGCAGATAATTAAGAAGAATTGGAAAAAAAATCCTAAGAAAACCTAAACGAAAAATAAAATGAGAAAAGAAAGCAAACTTTCGTAACGGGTTGCCTCCCGTCAAGCGCTTCTTTTTTTGAGGAGTCGTTAGCTAGACTCTTTCCCGCTCTACGTTGCTGCGGTTTCCTCTAAATCCAACATTTCTTCAATTCTTTCATCTTGTGCCATTCCTTCTTCGTATCTTTTAACCCAATGCCCATTAACTTTGAAACTTGATCCATCTTTGTTCCATAACTCAATCACACCATAAGGATAGACATGCTTAACAGAAAAAGGCCCAGCCCAACGAGTGTGTAATTTTTCCAGAAAAAGTTTAAGTCTTGAATTAAATAATAGCACCTTTTGTCCTTCCTCAAACTCTTTATTTCCTTTCAACCTTGCATTGTGCCATCTTTTTGTCTTGTCCTTATAAATCAATGAGTTAGTATAAGATTATTTCCTCATTTATTCTAGAGCATTCATTCGCAAGAGTTGATTTGCATGCAACTCATGTGCCTCAAAATCACATGTTTTCAAAGCCCAATAAGCCTTGTGTTCAAGTTCCACGGGTAAATGACAATTATTTCCATACACTAATCTATATGGTGTGGTTCCAATTGGTGTTTTAAATGCGGTCCTAAACGCCCAAAGTGCATCATCTAATTTATCCGCCCAATCTTGTCTATTGTACCCCACCGATTTTTCCAAAATTCTTTTCAACGTTCTATTCGTAATTTCGGTTTACCCATTGGATTGTGGATGATAAGGCGTTGAAAATCTATGGCGTACTCCATATTTTTGCAATACTTTTGCGAGTTTTTCATTAGCAAAATGGGTTCCCCGTTCACTAATTAATGCTTTAGGCACTCCATGTAGCACCTGGTTCCTGGTATGTAAATCTTAACTGAGTATTTTCCTTTTTAAGCCTTGGACTCGGCGAGTCATAAGTCCGACTCGCCGAGTAGGGACGGAACCCGGGACACGTTTAAGTTGGCGACTCGGCGAGTCACCGCTGCTGGATGAAACCCTAAGTTTCAGGGGTTTGCACCCTATTTAATCCCCCTTTCCACCCCCAAGCCAACCCCCATTCACCCTAAGAGCCATATACCTCGTTCTAAGCCTTATTTTGTGGATTTGAAGCCATTTGGTGTGTCCTCTTGAAGATTGGAGTGAGTAGGGAAGGAGATCAAGAAGAAGAAGAGAAGGTCAAGCACTTGTGAGCAATTTCAGAGTGATATCTAAGGTATGACTCGTTTTCCCCCTTGTCTCCATGCTTATGGCCCCATTAAAGTCCTTCATGACTCATTCCAAGCTTGTATGTGCATCGTATTTCGAAATGAGTTGATTGGCCTCTAGATCTAAGCATGGTTGAGCTCCAGGAACTCAGATCTACTACCTTTATGAGCCCATATTGCATATAAACCTTAGATCTACTCTTTTGGTGCATTTTGAACCCTAAAAACCCCATAGATGGATATTTACACGTAAAGTTGGAAACTTTACGTGTTATTCATGCTCTAGGAGCCCAGATCTACGAATGGCATGGATTGGATTCGAGCAAAATCGCATTTGTGGCTCTTGCATGGAGCGGACTCGGCGAGTCTAATCGCGAGTCTCCGAGTTTGTCCCCTTTTTGCTATGTCGAATTGTGTGGTGAGTCCAGGGTGGACTCGGTGAGTTGGAAGCCAAAAGTCACCCATAGTGGAACTCGGCGAGTCGATGCCCAGACTCGGCGAGTTCAAGGCAATCTCCTTAGATCAAGATCAGACTCGGCGAGTTGTTCATACAATTCGGCGAGTCACAATATAACTTGTTCTTTGGATGAAGATGAACTCGGCGAGTTGTTCATACAACTCGGCGAGTAGGATGAAGGACTTGATCATCAGTTTGGAAGGAAAACTCGTCGAGTCGACGCCTAACTCGACGAGTAGAAACAGAATTTAGGGCAGTCGTTGGGACATGGACTCGGCGAGTTGGCGGTCCAACTCGGCGAGTCGGGTCAACTGGAAGTTGACTCTGACTTTGACTTAGGGCATGATCAGGGGTAAAATGGACATTTTACCCAAAGAACGGTTAGCAATAGGGGTGTAAACGAGCCGAGCCGAGCCCGAGCCTGACTAAGCTCGAGCTCGACTCGTTTAATTTGAGGAAGCTCGAGCTTGATTCGAGCCTTAAAATGAAGCTCGAGCTCGGCTCATGAAAAATTTAGTGGGCTCGCGAGCTTAATCGAGCCTAAATGAGCCCCCCCCCTCTCTCTCTCTCTCTCTTATATATATATATATATATATATATATATATATATATGTGTGTGTGTGTGTGTGTGTGTGTGTATAGGCTCGTTTAAGCTCGTTTAGGCTCGCGATCCCCATTAATTGAAGCTCGGCTCGAGCTCGTTTAGTAAACGAGCCTTATATCTCGGCTCGGGCTCGTTTAATTCGATCTCGAGTCGAGCTTTTAACGAGTCGATCCCGAGTAGCTCACGAGTAGCTCGGCTCACTTACACCCCTAGTTAGCAATTTTGACTAAGTGTTTGGTGGGAATTACAGCCGGAGGATTTCCAGAGCAGCAGCAGCAGTCAGACTATTCTCACACAGATCAGCAGCTACGAGGTGAGTTACCTTCCAGTAGCGGTGGGTCTAAGACCACAATGCTGGCCCAACAGTAGGAGATGTATGATTAGATGATTGTCTCTGTGATATTCATCTAGGGCTGCTACTACCTGTGTTATGTTTATGTGTTTGTATGATATGATGCTATGTGCTACTGATAGCAAGGGAGATAGTCCCCAGGTTACCGGTCGATAGCGCCGAAGGGGTAGTTATGCCCAGCCATGCTAGATAGACTATGTGATATATGTGTTATATGGTAGTAGTA